TCTTTTCGTCAGGTTTTTCCGATCGTTTCCTTTCCCGCTCTGAGGGATAAATAACGAAAGGTGGCGACTCTTCTATTCAGCTGAGCTTATTCAACAATTTGGATAAAAGTCTTATATCATTGGGATACAAGCAAGAAAGTATTTAGCCAAAATGCTTGAGTCACGTAAGTCTCTTGCTATGTGCTTGAGCTGTGAAAGTCTTAATCAAGTGGATTGATTGAGCAGAAGTCTTTTATCATTGGGATACAAGCAAAGAATTCTCAAGCCAAGATGCTTGAGCCATATAAGTCTCTTGTTATGTGCTTGAGCAGTGAAAATCTTAATTAAGTAGATTGATTTAGCAAGTTTAACTCGGTACATAAAACTTGGAGCAGTAAGTCTTGTATCTGAGGGATCAAGAAAGGATGCTCGTTCCATGGCACCTGGAGAAGAAGTCTTGAGCCATTATGGCTTGAGCAAGAGAGCTAAGTACATGGAATTGGAGCAGTAAGTCTTGACTAGAGGGGTTCAAGCAGGGATGCTCGTTTCATGGGACTTGGAGAAGAAGTCTTGGACTGAGGGCCTGAGCAAGGGAGTCTTGGGTTCGTGGAACCTGAGCAAAAAGTCTCGAGTGAGAAGCTTGAGCAGAAGTCTTGGAACTTGGGTCTGAGCAATTGTAAAAGTCTTATGCAAAATGCATAAGTGATTATAATCATGATTTGATTATAGTGAAAATATCTTGTGAAGAAAGGGGACTGAACTACTATCAGTTTGGGAGGAACCAATATAAATCTTTGTGTCTTCTGCTATTATTTATTTGCTTCTGTTAACATTTCGCTGCTAAGAATTAATCATAATTTGAACACCGAATTAGATTCTGAACTCTGATCAAATGTAAACTAAGAAAATGGAAAACACAATTCAACCCTCACCTCCTTCTTATGTAATTTTCTCACCTACAACTGGTATTAGAGTCTGGTCTATACTTAACACTTAACAGTGGTGCAGATAATGATCCAATAAGAAAAGTATGTCTGTTAAGACTTTCCTTCAAAAAGGAATCAAGTGCCACAAGAAAAATATTATATTACTTTTCCAACCATATTAAAATGGTGATTCCACTGAATTTAAATGATGGAAAAGTAAAACATATTTTTAACTTATTGGTCTTGATAAAAGGGGTTCTTAAAGGTCTATAGAATATTCTTAAAAAAGGTATTACTATAGAAGTCAATGGGGTTCTTAAAGGTCTATAGAATATTCTTAAAAAAGGTATTACTATAGAAGTCAATGGTGTAAAAATGATTTGTTTGAAAGTCTCTATCATCAGCTCAGAAGAAGCTTAGTGAATATCTTCAGAGGTAGTTGCATTTTGGTAGGTGCTCTATCTTACTTATGAGTATGTCAACATCATTGATATGTATGATGTTCGGACTATCTTTGAATCCTTGTGCTCAGATATGTAGGAATCAATTTTGAATCTTGTCTAATTATACTTCACCTAATCCTTCAAACACATTCTGAGAAGATTGGTTTAGATTCAAACCTGAGGTCACAGTTATTTAAGAAGTTATACAACTTTAATTTATTGTGCTCTGTTGGTTTATTTTGAAAATCTTTGAGGAAAATAAATGATATTAGGTGATGAAAAGTTATCTAACAGATCACCTTTCTTAAAGCTTGGTTCTTTGAAATACCCGATGACAGGGGATTTACATTTCTAGTCAGAAGTACATCTTAACCAGCTGGATGGGTTGTAACATCTGTTGATAGAAGAGTAACTTCAAAAGCTTCTGAAATACTTGTATTTCAACAGATCTCCCAGATCTAAAAGCAAGGATAAACACTACCAGAACCTAATGTCAGTTAATCTTTATTGCATATTCTTTGGAGATGACATTAGTGCATGATTTAGATAAAAGTGTAATCTGGCTCTGCCAGTCATTATTGCTTCTGAAAAAGCATCTGAGTCCTGAAATAAAAATCAAGTATTAAAGAGAATGATATTATGCCAAATCTATCTTGCTTCAATATTCGATAATAAGGAGTCTGCTCTTTAAGGTGATATCTTAAGAGACTCCATTGCTCCTTGATTGAGGGTCATCATGGAATTTGTATTAAAGGACAAGTCTATGAGAAACCTTCAATTTTTCTTTGTGTTCTGCAAGAAATTAGATGATGGTGCTTTAATTTGTTTTATGCCATTCTCTGATAGCTAACATCATCTGGTTCTTTACTTATCAAAGATCTCAAAGTCTTGAGTCAAGACAATGAAATTAATGATTCTTCTAAGAATAATATCTTTTTTATATTATGATTTATTCTAAGATTAATACTCTAGAACGAATCGTAGTATTGCTATCAGAATGTGGCATAAGGTGAAAGAAAGCATGTATGAACATTTATGTATGGTCTCATAGAAATATGTGTCGTTATTTAAATGTATTTGCTGCAAATATCAAATAAAGGAGAAAAGACATCTTCTATGGCATTTATCAAAGGTTGTTTACAACATTTGATGGAAGAATAGCCCACAACCCATACTCAAGTGCTAGAGGTACTGAGCTTGGTGATAGAAGTGAAGTCATTGGTTTAACAACCATTGAACCAAAATCCACTCAAAGCGGTGTTCAGACACTATGGTCAAGTCTGAATACTGATACATGTATAACCAAGAAAATAACAAAAAAAAGGTATGATTGTTCTTTTATGGTTTATCTTCAGATTCAGTGAAATATTTGTGTAGGTGTAAATACAATATTTATGTTAGATTTCTAGAGAAGCTCTTTTGAAAATGGATCTTCAGAAATCTTTAAGAAGAAACTCTGTTATATTTATCTATACTAAATATTTCATCAAGCTAGATGATAATAATATTTATGGAAACAATTTCCTCACTTTTTGTGATGTTACTGTTGTTTGTTAGTTGTCAAAGGAAACAATTCAATATTCATTTATCACTCATGACTCTTGTGTCAAGAGGAATTTTGATTCTGAATAGAATCTTGGAGACTAGTGACTGATAAAGGATATCTCTATCTCACATTCTAGTTCTACTAGACTCTGATAGATGATAGCTTCTGGAAGTTGTCAGATTCTAAGATTCAGAAGAAGACTTTTTACTTTTGATAAAGTATTTTAAGTAAAAGGATTCTTTACATGATTTGTTAATGACATATATTCCTTGGATTTTGATGATAACAAATTATTGAAAGAAAAATAATTTATTTGATGTGTGTTGCATTTGTGCATATTCTAATACTTGTAAATATTATAGTCGGAGTCTATGTTACATTAAACGCACTTTGAGAGTTGCTGAATTGCTAACTTCTTATGGTAGAATATGAAGAACACTTGCTAAGTGATGTCCAACATAGACTCTGAAGCTGAAGGTCTCAACATCAGAAAAAGCAACATAATTGTCTATACACTTGGTGAATGTAAATTGGCTTCTGGTACCATTTAGAGTTGGTGATAAAGTTGAAGTTGTCCATACTGTAGAAAGCAAGTTGTATTGTCAAATCAGTTTGTCACCTAGAGTCTACAGATTTCAAGGCTCAAGAAAGGAGAAGATGCTTTATGGATATATACTCTCAATAGTTCTAATAATACATAATCTCTTGAAGACTCAAAGGTTAAACATGTTACACATTGGATTAAGATCTTCTGGTGTATCTATCTTCAATGACTCTTGTACTATGGAGTAACAACGAAGACTCTTGATCAACTTACCTCTTTAATGGCTATTTTTTGAAAAATAAAAGCATAAATATGGCTAAAGGTTCAAACTAAATCTTCATGAAGGATCATCCAGAAGAAGGAGTAACAAGATCAACAATTATCAACATAATTGTAAATGCAAATTTTCTATTGTAGGTTGTAATTGTAAAAGCCTTAAGATTTCTTACACATTGAATATCTTAGAAATATTAAGTGCTTTAGGTCTTTGTTATGGGGATTTCCCGTACCTATGATACTTGTATCATGTACACCTTGTTCTCTATTCTGCTGAGCTTGTTCAACAGTTTAGATAAAAGTCTCATGTCATTGGGATACAAGCAAGGAAGTCTCGAGCCAAAATGCTTGAGTCATGTAAGTCTCTTGCTATGTGCTTAAGTTATAAAAGTCTTAACTAAATGGATTGATTGAGCAAAATTCGTGTATCATTGGAATACAAGCAAGGAAGTCTCGAGCAAAGACGCTTGAGCCACGTAAGTCTCTTGCTATGTAATTGAGCAGTGAAAGTCTTAATCAAGTAAATTAATTGAGCAAGGTTAGCTCGGTGAATGAATCTTGGAGCATTAAGTCTTGTATATAAGGGATCAAGCAGGTAGGCTCGTTTCATGGTAGCTGGAGCAGAAGTCTTGAGCCAGTGTGGCTTTAGCAAGAGAGCTCAATACATGGAATTGGAGCAGTAAATATTGACCAGAGGGGTTCAAACAGGGAAGCTCGTTTCATGGCAGCTAGAGCAGAAGTCTTGAGCTAGTGTGGCTTGAGCAGGAGAGCTCAGTACATGGAATTAGAGCAGTAAGTCTTAACCAGAGGGGTTCAAGCAGATAGACTCATCTCATGGGACTTGGAGCTGAAGTCTTGGGCTAAGGGCCTAAGCAAGAAAGTCTTGGGTTCATGGAACATGAGCTGGAAGTCTCGAGTGAGGAGCTTAAGCAGAAGTCTTTGACCTTGCGTCTGAACAATTGTAAGTCTTATGTAGAATGCATAATCGATTGTAATAATGATTTGGTTATAGTAAAAATCTCTTGTGAAGCAAGGGGACTGGACTACTCTCAGTTTGAGAGGAACCAATATAAATTTTTGTATCTTCTACTATGATTTATTTACTTTTGTTAACAATTCTCTGCTAAGAATTAACCAGAATCTGAACACCAGTTTATAATCTAAACTCTAATAAGATGATAACTAAGAAAACAGAAAACACAATTCAACCCCCCTTCTTGTGTACTTTTCTCACCTTCAAAATTCCCAAAACATAAGATCCCAAAACAGAATTCTAAAAAGACAATTTATCTGGTCTTTCTCCTTATTTCTAACTTTAGTCTCATGGTTGTTGGTTGCTGAAATGTTGTTGTACCAACTTGTCTTCCCCTTCTCATAACAAGTAACTGTGAAACTGAAATGGAATGTCGTGTTTGGATTCTGGAAGATGATGCTGACATTCTAGTTTGAACTCTTTGGGTTGGTTGGGATTGGGCAATTGTGAATGGAGTGGTTGTTTGAGATTGTCTAGTTTGAACTATTTGGGTTGGTTGGGTTTGGATAATTTGAACTTGAAGGGTTGTTTGGGATTGTGTTGTTTGAGATTTGACACAGATGGAAGTTTGTGATTGGTCCATAATGGTAGGTTGGGGCTGGACATTTGTTACAGTTTTGGCTTGACTTGGTTTTGCAGGACATGATGATTTGTTGTGTCCAGAAATACCACATACTGAAAACTTATTTGGCAGCCCCTTCCTTGAAACATTTGTTGAATCCTTTATCTTTTCATCAACATCTTTTTTTCTTCTTCTTTTTGGCCTCCCTGATGCTCTTTTGGAAGGTGGTGGAACAATGTCTGAATGTTGTGTCAATTCCCATAAGTTTTCTCCATTTGTTGCATATATAAATGGTTGGCAACAAGCCTGGTAAGTCTTCTTCCTATAACACAGAGGAATGTACTCAGCTGGGTCTTGAGATCTACTTTGAATGTAAGTAATTTCATGGTAGCATGGAAAGCCAATGAGCATCCAAATCCTGTAAGAGCACTCCAACCTCTTGAGATCAACTGTGAAATTGTCTCTAGTCAAACTTGTATGCCTTACTTCATAAATCATGTCACCTGATAACCTTTTAAACAAATGCAATTCATTGAGCTAGTGTTAATAAACTTAACAGATTTGTAAATTGTAAAATTAATTTTTGAATTACCCTGCTATAAAAAACCTTGGGATATCTTGCCTTCTTTCAAGCACTTTTTTAATTCTTGGAAGAACAAACTCACTATAATCTTCAATCTTGGCTATATTAGTTGCCCATCTTTCCATGAGGTTCCCTTTAATCTCCTCTAACATTTTTACTATTAGCTTTTATCTTGGTCCAATTATAACACTATTAAAAGTTTTAGACATATTGTTCACCAACACGTCACTTTTTGTATTGTATTTGAACATAGACTTGCTCTAATATCTAGGGGGTATCTTCAACAAGTGTTTGTATGCCTCCTCATTAACCTTCCTCGTTTCCCTTTCCCATACTTGAGGATATGTTGCTTTGGCTGCCCTCCATATTAATTCCTTCAAATGCTTGCTTGTAAACCTTTTTCTGAAGTTGTTATACAGGTGTCTAACACAAAATCTCTGGTAAACTCTAGGTAACAACCCCTAATCATAAAATAAACATACTTTGTTACAATTTAAAATCATGAAGGACTACTATTTTACAATTTAAAATCAAGAAGGACATGTATGTTACATATTTATCACATTGTGTAGCAATGCATAAATGACATATATGTTACAAATTAAAATCATGAAGGACATATATGTTACAAATTAAAAACATGAAGGATCTGTTTCTTACCTTTTGCTCTAAAATGAAAGTAACATGTTTGCAAACTTATGTCCTTCCCAAGACACGAACTAGCAGATCAAAGAACCATGCCCAAGAGTCTTTAGTCTCTGCTTCAACTATAACCAAGGCAATGGACAACATTTGATCATTAGGGTCTCTTTTTACTACTGCAAGGATCTGGCCTCCATAAATGCCTATAAGAAAACATCCATCAACTCAAATTATTGGTCTGCAAACTGCAAAACTCCTATTGCAAACATCAAGGCACGTATACATTCTATGAAAACTTGGTAGTAATGGTCTGCTAACATATTCTTCAGGTTGTTGTTAAAGTTCAGCTCATTGTTGTTCAGTTGCTTGGACATTTAATTTGATGGTGTTGTTTGAATTTTACCTCAATAACTCATGTGCATAGTCACACAATCTATGATATTGCTTCTTGAATGACCCTTCAACAATATTCAATGACGTATTCCACTCCCTATAAGCTTTCATCCTACTCATACCAACATTCCATTTCTCATGCACTTTTTCACATATAGCTGTCAGTTTCACATTAGGGTTGATTCTAACTGTTGTATACACTTTCTTCCTAAGCCAATTAGAATTAAACATTTTAACATTGAACTCTCTATTACAAGTGTGATTGTCATTAAGTGTTCTCAATTGCCATGTACCCGCATTAGGAAATTTGGAACGTAAGGCCACCCATCCACACCCTTCCTTGCAACCAACTCTAACCCTAATATTGTCATTCTTAAGACACCTTAAATCCCTTCCATTATGAACAACATAACTTGCAATAACTTCCTCGAGCTCTCTCTTTGTTGAGAAAAAGCTTCTCAATACCCACTTATAGTGATTAAACCTCTTAGGCATGACAAATGATGGGTATTTAACATTCTCATCCTCATGTGAATGTTCACAACTAATGTCATCCTCACTTTCTAAATCTTCAGTTGCATAGTCAGAATCTGAAAAACCACGGCATACCTTCTTACATATATTTCTTCCTTAACTCCAAAATCAAGGACAACTTTATCACTTCTAAGGGGAACTGAACTTCCTTCTTCCAAACCTTTTTTCTTAGGTCTTCCCTTGTGTTTTTTTGAACTGCCTTTTGACTTCTTTTTTGATGGTCTCCCTCCCTTCCTCTTTCTATTTTGAGGTGTTTCATTTGCTAGTATATCAATATTAGGTTAATCACTTTGGCCAACAAGTAGGTCTTCTTCTCCTACTGATACTTCAAAAAATCCATCCTTTAAAACCTCGTCATCTGAGTCAACAAAACCTCTTTCTCCTAATGCCATATCATCATTGTCATCAGGTTGAGCCTCATTTTGTTCCTCAAGTTGGGCCACACAAACATCCTCATTTTGGGCCTCACAAACATCCTCATTTTGTTCCTTAGGTTGGGCCCCACAAACATCCTCATTTTGCTTCTCAGGTTATACCTCACAAACATCCTCATTTTGGTCCTCAAGTTGGGCCTCACAAACATCTTCATTTTGGTCCTCAAGTTGGGCCTCACAAACATCCTCATTTTAGTTCTCAGGTTGGATTTCAGGTAGAGCAACTACTAAATCAGGTTATTCAATAGGGTGGACTATGTATATGCCAACCTTTCCCTTAGTCTTGGATCAGTTCAGTGCTTTTATTGTACCAAAACCATCTTCCAGCGCCTTCAATGTTCCAACAAAGTCATGCCAAATTTCTTGAACTCCTGGATACTTTATCTCTTTGACAACCCCCAATATTTCAAAGTAACTCCATCTGTCACCATCACACTTCCAGTTTGACACTTCACCTCCTATATATTTGTCATTAACGAAATATCCTCCATGATGAAAGTCAATATGAAATTCATCCATAACCATTATGTTCTTGTTTACATCAACCTAAAATAATCCACATACCCTAAAGTGAAAACTACCATTACAGATAAGCAACATCAACCTAAATTCTAACATGCAGGATTTTCGTTTTCAAAAAACTAATAAAAGAAGGAGAATCACAAAAAACTACCATTTAATGTAAGCGTAACATACCTAATCAGAAGAGTTTCTTCACATTCAATGTAGCTGCACGTAAGGTGAAAAGTATCTTTACCAAATGTAACTTCACGAAGGAGAACAAACTTAGGGTTGTGTAACCTAAATTAGGGATTATAAAGTCTTAATCAAAGAAAGAAGGAGACAAATGCCAAATCAGCAAGCTTCAATGACAAATCATCATTGTTAAATGCCATATCATCTCCGTTTGTGATACATAAGCGTTTTTGGAACATAGTTTGTGAAAAAGGTCAATGATGCAGACATTACTTAACATAAAGAACCAAATTGTAGAAAAAAGTCTTAAAGACTAGTTTATTATAATAAAATAAATTAGGCTTAACACCTCTTTTAGTCCCTTAACTGTAGTGTTTGTTTCGCTTTAGTCCCTTAAGAAAAAAACGTTACATTATGGTCCACTAACTTATACTCCGTTACGTATAGTAGTCCTTTCTGTTAGTTTGGGTTGGGAAAACTTTAGAAACTGCACTGCTGGACTTTAAATAGCTTAGGTGGATGTTCTATAATTATTTTAATGGATGACATGGATTTTGCATTACTCATAACATTCATTTTAAGAAGATGATATGTGTTAGGGTATGATAAGAACGTTGGATGAAAGCTTGTTTAAGTATCTTGTTTAAACAACAACTATATTGTGAAGAAAAACACCATATCTTTGTACGAATTTCATTGAAGACGGCGTTTACGACAATACTTGTTTGAAGACGGAGTTCAAATAGCAAAGTTTACGACAACAAGAAAAACCTAAGATACGACAACAAAACTTCTTTGAAGACGGAGTTCATTGCAGAAGAACGAAGAAGAAAAACTTCATTATTTCACTCGTCTGGATAGAAAAACCTAAGGTACGAACTTACACAAATATGATTGAAAAAATGTTAAATCTCTTATATAGCTAACTTGCTTAGTACTTTTGATACTATATGTAAGTTGATTAGGCCATGTAGATTAGGTTTAAGTGTGTTGTTCATCATTCTGGTGAATTTTCTAGGGAGTTTGCAAATTTTACCAAGTCAGGTTATGTAGGGTTAAAGGAGATATGAGATGTTGATCCTGATTATTGGAGTTACTTTGAAATATTGGACAAGTTTAGAGAGTTAGGTTACCCTAGTATAGATAGACTTTGGTATTATGACGATATGATTGCTAATGATATAGTTCAGTTAGAAAATGATAAGGGGACTGATAGGATGAGAACCATTGCAGTGTTAACTGAGGAATGCCACTTGTATGTTACACATCCTGTATCTGTACCTGATGTTATTGAGGAGCACATACTCTCACTACCACATGTGAGCATATTGGATGAAGAAATGTATGGTGAAAGGTCTGATATGATTAATAATGAGGATGGGACCACATTGGCCGAGGATGTGGTTGGTGAAGTATATAAAGGGGGGAGTAATGAATATGGGACCACACTGGGAGAAGATATGGTGAAAGATGGGACAAGAGTTGATGAAGTTGAGGAGAATGTTAGGATTGAAGATAATGTTGGAATTGAGGAAAATATGGGTGATGTGGGGACCAACTTAGAAACTGAGATGGATGTTGGTCAAGAGGAGACAAACTATAACAATATGGATGATGTGGGGACCACCTGTGAAATGGAGGAGAATGTGGATGTAGGAAATAATGTTGGAGGGGATGAAATCAATGAAGGACTGAACTGTAACCAAGAACAAGATGAGGTAGTCAACTGTAACCAAGAACCAGATGAGGTAGTCAACTGTAACCAAGAAGATGGAAGTGGTGACAGTGCTTTGAATGTAAATTTTGAAGACTCAGAGAATGACATAGGTATTGATGGAGAGATAGCAATTGATGAGGATGAAGTGAATGCAACAAGTAAGTTGAAGGGAAAAGGCAATGTAAAAAACAATGGGAAAGGGAAGGGGAAAGGGAAAGGGAAAGGGAAAGGGAAAGAAAATGAAAAGGTTATTGTTAGGGATGTAGGTGAAGATAGCGACGGTGAGGTAAATCTGGACAATTTGAGAGGTTTAGGTGACATGGAGGAGTATGACAGTGATAAAATTCCTACTGAGTATGAAGGTGAGAATGATGAGGTTGTAAAGGATGATTTTGTAACCTTTAAGCTTCTAAAAGTAATGGAAGACTACAAATGGGAACTTGGTACATTTTTTTTCCACAAAGGGGGTGTTTCAAGAGGCAATAAGAACATATGCCATTCATTCAGGAAGGAACTTGAAATTTACCAAAAATGATAAGGCAAGAATGAGAGTTAAATGTAAGGCAGGTTGCCCACGAGAGGCTTACTATTCAAATATTAAAGGTCAAGAGACTTGGCAATTGAGGACAATTATGGACAAGCATACTTGTAGTATGGATTATAAGATTAGGTTCCTCAATTCAAAATGGTAGGGTAAGAAGATTTAAACAAGTGTTAGAGAAAATCCAACTTTGAAGTTGACTGATATTATGGAGAAAACACATGAAAAGTGGAATGTTGGGATTAATAGGACATTAACATATAGAGCTAAAACAATAGCTGTTGATTTTGTGGATGGTTATTTTAGAGAGCAGTATAAAAGAATTCATGATTATGGCCATGAACTATTGAGGGCAAACCCATGATCAACTGTGAAGATTACAAGTCAGCCACCAGTTCAAGGGGGAAAGTAGTGAAAACTCTACTCATTGAATCCTCACTTTCAAAGGATGTATGTTTGTCTCAAAGGTTGCAAGGACAATTTTTTCAAATGCAGGCCTATTATAGGATTAGATGGTTGTTTCTTAAAGGGATACTATGGAGGACAAATACTAGTTGCTATTGGTAGGGACCCAAATGACCAAATGCTTCCAATTGCATATGCTATTGTTGAGGGTGAAACTGAAGACTCATTGAGCTGGTTTCTAGAGTTATTGATACTTGATTTGGGAGGAGTCAGGCTGTGTAGAACATATACCTTCATTAGTGATTAACAAAAGGTTAGGTTTTAAACTCTCACCTTGAAATGTAACAGTTAGCTAATTGTTTTATAGCCTTGTTTTATTTTCACCATCATTCTTACTTATTTAGATGCAGGGTTTGTTGCTAGCTCTTGATGAATTACTTGGCAATGTTGACTAGAGATTCTGTGTTAGGTAATGTTCACTCTCACCTTTTTAACTTACATATTGAATATGACATACTTGGTAATGTTTACACTTACTTAATATTGCAGACATTTGCATAGTAACTTCAGGAAAAAGTTCCCTGACCTGAAATTAAATGAGTTGATGTGGAGGGTTGCATGTGCAGCTTATGTTAATGCTTGGGAGAAAATAATGCTTGAAATCAAAGAAGTTAATGAAGAGGCCTTCAAGCACCTCATCAAAATTCCACCAATATTCTAGAGCAAATCAAGGTTCCAGCCAAGTTCAGGTTGTGACACTTTGGTTAACAATATGTCAGAGGCATTCAATTCTGTATTTGTGCCTGCTAGATCTAAGCCCATTGTGACAACGCTGGAAGAAATTAGAGTATACATAATGTAGATATGGGAATCCAATAGGCAAAAGATCAACAAATATGATGGCATCATACTACCTAACATCAAGAAGAGGATGGAAAGGGAGTCACAAAAAACTAATTATTGGATTGTGAGGTAACAAATATGGCACCGTACTACCTAACATTCAAATGGCTATCTGTTTACGTTGACTATCATTGTTAATGGTTACTCGTTTACAGGCGTGCAGGTGAATATGACTATGAGGTGAGGCATACTTCACTCAATGGAGAAATATATGTCGTCAACCTTTACAAGAAAGAATGTTCATGTAGATTATGGATGTTGACTGTACTTCCCTGCTGTCATGCAATGTCTTGCATGAAAGATCAACATTTGGAGATTGATAACTTTGTACCTGATTGTTACAAGAAGGAACAATATGCCGTTTGCTATGCACATGTGATATATCCACTTAATGGGGAAGCGTTGTGGGCAAAGACTAGTGTTGTTGATCTTCAGCCACCACCAATAAAGAGGCAGCCTAAAAGGCCAAAGAAAAAAAGAAATAGGGAAGCTGGAGAGATGGTGAAGGATGAGACACACATGAAGAGGGTATGACATGGTATAAAGTGTAGTCAGTGCCACAAGGATGGTCACAATAAGGCCACTTGTAAACTACCACAACCACAAGCCAGTTTAAGTCAGGTACAAGATGCAACAAGTCAGCAACCATCACAAGCTAATATAAGTCAATCACCACCTATTGCAACAAGTTAACCACCATCACAAGATGTTACAAGTCAACCACCACCACCTGTTGCAACAAGTCAGCCACCACCACAATCTGTTACAAGTCAACCACCACCACCTATTGCAACAAGTCAACCACCATCACAATCTGTTACAAGTCAACCACTACCACCTGTTGTTACAAGTCAGCCACCACCTAAAACTAAGAAAAAACTTCATAAGGGTGGCAAGCTTGTTCAAGCCAACCATGATCAATATTATTATGTTTACTAGGATTTTGTAATGCCAATTAATGGCCTGACTCTTTTGTTTTTTTTAATGGCCTTATAAAGGCATTTTGGTATTGAACCTGTTATGTAATGCCTTACAAAGGTCTTTTGGTATATGAACCTGTTATGTATTGCCTTTTAATGGTCTTTTGATTTTGAACCTGATATGTAATGCCTTACAATGACCTTTTGGTATTTGAACATGTTATGCATTGCTTTATAATTGCCTTGTTTTATTGAACCTATTGTGTATCAAATATTGAATCTGTTATTGAATGTTGGAATGGTTATTAAACATGTTATGTATCAAACTTTGAAACAT